AACGTTTTCGTTAAACTATCGGTGCGTGGCGTCGAGTATGAATAAAACGTCTGATATCATCGTAGAGGGGAAGCGAGATCGCTCGATGTGGAAGGAACTTGAAGGTGATAGCTCGAGCAGACGCTGCCGCGTTCTTTTCCACTGGCTCACCCCTTTATTTTCCTCCCACGAGCGACGGGAGCGCGCGCATCTCCCCGCGAGTCACCGCGAGTCCGCCTGATCGCTCCGTTTCGCGTTAGAAATAATATCGCGCCGCGTCGCGCAAGCAGCAACAAGTGGCGGACTTTTATCCGTCGCCGCCGCCGCCGCTGCCGCCTTCGGCACGCGGCGCGGTGGCCCAGTTTCCGCGACGGGGCATAAATTCGCGCGGGCGCCCGTCGTCGCCCGAAAGACAGATTTACGACGGAGGCAGAGGCGAGTCTCCTTCTTCCGAGAAGAAACCGCTCCGCTTCCCCGCCCACGCGGGCCGCCGCCGCGCGCCGGGAAAAACGCCGTACGCTTCCTCGCCCGCGCGCGTTTTCTACATTCTATCGTATCGCCGCGGTGTGCACGCGCGCGTGAAGTAGGGCTGTCGTTATTGATTCACGAGCTGCTTGCGACTGACAAGCGGTAACGTTAAACGCGAGCTTTCTAGTCATTCGCGCTAGAACGGCGAGCGGAAAGGTCGATTCGCGACGAAGCTATTTATCGAGAATGAAAAAAAACGCCAAAACATAGGAGATGGGACACTAGTGAACCCAGCTGTGGGTGTACACCAGGAACTATAAGGGCCGTTACTTTTGATAACTTCGAAGCTTCGAAAAATTTATTCGCGCGAGTGGCGAACTTATTTAAAGAACACTAAAAATATTGTAAATAAAAAGTTATTTATGTACGTTGAAAAATAGGTAATTACTTCTAAATTATAATTTTGAAGTACTGTAACATGTATATTACATATTATATAGTTAACTTCAAAGCTTCGAAGCTTCGAATGTCGAAGCCTTCGAAGGAAATCACCAGTGCAGTGCTACTAGGAACCACTGATATCTTCCTACATGAATTTGCGCACCGAGGGGAAACGTAGCATACGTTTTACTAGTAAAATGAATAGTAAAATTTCGAAAAACTCATAAAATCCATCAAAATGCCACGCTGTCCCACGATTACGCGATTTTTCAGGCTAAATTCTAAGGGAAAATTCTCCCCGTGCAGATTTCGCTTCGCATTTGCTTCACGTTAATCCCCCGATCGACTTCCGATTACACTCGGTTTGAGTTCAAGTGCGCCAACCCCGATCGAGACGCGACGAGGAATTTATAACGCGCGTCCTGAGAATTTAATCATACCTTGAAGAACGCTGGACCTTCGGCAAGATCCTCCTTTATACAGGGTGAGTCTTTCCATATCCGACAAAATTTTTGAGAAGGTAGAACGGATCGAGATGAACGGAAAAGTCCTGTACCATTTTGCAATTTTCGTAATAGTTAACGAGTAATTAATTATTAAAAATCGTTGTTTTAGGCCGGCCTACCGCCCAATTCGAGCGCGTGGCGAGATGTGCGCATAGCAATATCGATCGCCGGGCGGTCACATCTTGCCACGCGCTCGAATTGGGCGGTAGGCTGGCCTAAGACAACGATTTTTAATAATTAATTACTCGTTAACTATTGCGAAAATTGCAAAATGGTACAGGACTTTTCCATTCATCTCGATCCGTTCTACCTTCTAAAAAATTTTGTCGGATATGGAAAGACTCACCCTGTATAAATGCTCGCTGCTCGCAATACGCACGGTACGACACATGGTCCTCTCTCTATCGACAGGAGATATTGACCTCAGGCGATATACACACCAAGTGCCCAGCGGTATTTCTCTCCCCCTTCCCCTCTCTTTCTCTCTCTCTGTGCTATGTAAGCGCGTCCAACATATAATCTATAAACACCTAACATCGCGAGCACGCAGTTCTCTTCTAACTGCAGGCGCTATTATTTCGTCATATCGGAGATATTCGTTCGCGACTATTTTTAACAAAAAGAAAGTATAAATGCGCCATACGTCGATATCTTAGATTACGACATAGCAGTCGCGACGATCTCGGCGATACCATTGTTCTGTACCCGCGATTGCACGCCTGACGCGCTTGGCTTTCGAGAGAATGCTGATGCGAGAGGACGCGACACGTCCGTCGTATTCGCGTAATCGCGCGATCTCCCGCGCGAGGAGATTTCTCGGCGAAACGAAAGGCGAATCTATCGATGACCGCGCGGTCGATTCCGCGCGTTCGCATCGATCCTCCGAGAGAACCAGTTTAGGTTCGGCCGCGGAAGGAGAGACGAGAGAAGCGCACGGGAGACGGTAGTCGAAACCATGGACGAGGAGCGCGGTGACGCGCATGCAGGGAGCGAGAAGAAGACGCGGCCGGCAGAAAGTATCGTACCCAGGGTTTTTCCGCGACTCACCGAGCGATCCTATCTATCGGATTATATCCGTCGGCTCTTTGATTCCACCATGCGCGACACTTTATACGTAACGCGATATTCCGTACGTTTCAACTTGTTCCGAGACATATCGGAGTGTAGAAGCAACGACGTAACTTTGATCGCGTCCAAATTGTTTTGTGTGTACGAAACTGTTAAAAATGATGAAAAAAAAATAGATCGCGACTTCGCAATTATGCGTAACGCGATATTCCGTACGTTTCAACTTATTCCGAGACTTATCAGAGTATAGTCCCGAAAAGCAACGACGTAACTATCTCTCTCTCTCTCTCTCTCTCTCTCTTTGATCGCGTCCCAATTGTTCTATGTACAAGACGGTTATAAAAATAATGAAAAAATAGATCGCGGCCTCGCAATTAAAAGTGCTTTCCCACTAAACGCTAATATCGACGTCTCGTACCTTCGTCGATGCGTGCGAGCGAGACCGCTCAGCCTCCACCTGGCGTGGACCAGTATCGGCTAGCGGATACATTGATCAACCGCTGAAACGGCGATATCGTGAAATCTATCGGCGCATTGCGATCAACAAGATCGGTTTACAGCGCGTAGTTGTGATCATAAAGAACCGCGAGTGTAAGCGCATATTATTTCGATCTCTCATTTAGCTAAGCTTGTTTGACTCCCTACATCTTATCTATTCGTAACAATATATGTTACGAATGTAAAAAGTACACGTGCTATGTATGAGCGTTATATACGTGCGTCTCTTGCGAAATTCCGCACAACTGACTGGCCCTATATCCGCGACGTAACGTTACTCCGCGCCTGGTTGAGAACCCTCGATGCGTGTGACTAGAATGCTATCGTAAACCAACCTCCACGAACGCTGCGTCTGTTCTTGCTCAACTCCGTCTAATAAAATCGTCCATTTTATTCGCGACGGAACGATCGATTTATCATTTCAGGAATCCGCGGTTGCGCGTAGCCGTGAAAAGTGTGAGAACCTCTGCGTCGTGCGACCGGAATGCCGTGTATTTGTCATCGCACAGATCCCCCCCCCCCCCCGGTGGATTTTCGAGTTCCCGAGTGCACGAGGAAAAACGTATCGATATCATTGCGATTTTATTCATCTCCTTCGCGATAATAATAAGGGGCGTATTCTCGGGCAGATATAGGCGCTAAGTGCAAGACGCGCCGCTTACTAATTTTTTGGCGAAAGAAATAACGGGCTAGGACCAGGTTTTGCGCCCGAGACCTTCCAGGTGATTGCTCTTCCTACCGATTGCCAGCTATCCAGGCCCGCGCTCGAAACTTTTTTCGCTTGTCTAGTTTATTTTTACCGAATATAAGTGTTAGGAATAATATATTACATGCACCCACAGAAAAAATTTCCGGATCCAATGTATCATAAAATAGGATCGATGTACCATAGAGCCAATCGTATTTATTATAGAGAAAGGAATATTTTAATCTTAAATGGAAAAATCTAAAATACAGAATAAAATTTGCCTCAATATAGTAAGTCAATCTTTTTAACTCGATAGAGGAGAATAATAGTTATTGATTTTATTCTGCACTGAAAAAAATTTCTGGTTGAATATGGACGAATCAGATAATTCCTTTAGGATTTACCAGAATTCCTAAATCCTAAAGGAATTATCTGATTCGTCCATATTCAACCAGAAATTTTTTTCAGTGTGGTATTGTTTTATTTTTATACTAAATGAGGCTGTGAGAAATATAAATGCGCCAAGAATATGTTTTGTCTCGGTAACAGAAATCCTTTCTGAGGGTGCGGAGAGAATCTTTTCTTAAAATTTATCCAGAAAATCACGTAATCGTGGGACAACGTGGCATTTCGAACAACTGTATATGAGAGTTTCTTGAAATTTTACCATGCAATCCGCCAGTAAAACGTATACTAACAAGTATAATTGTTAGTATTATTATTAGTAGAATGTATGGTAAGATTTCAAGAAACTCTCGTACAGTTCTTTAAAATGTCACGTTTGCATGATTTTCAGAATAAATTTTACCAGAAAATTCTCTCCGCGTAGCAGCGTGACATTTTTTCAATTATTGGGACGGCAAGAATTTATCAACAACGCGCTAATTACATCGCGATTACGTTAGAAAGTGCTTTCGTTTCAAATGGAAAAGGGACCAAGTAAACGTGTCACAGGACAATTCGAGAAGGGGTTAAACATAGGGGCAGGCGTCAATAGACCCCTAATATGTTCAGACGTTCGTTGCCGTATTGTCCGCGCAATCTCGAACGCTCGTATATTAACCGGCGCGGTACTACGAAAGATGGGAACGCTGCCACTCGCACTTCGTCCCGGATTATCTCCAACGTTGCTTTGGGCTAGGTCGTGAGACACGACACACGCGTTAGGAAAGACGAACCTCGCTGCTTGTACGGTAAACGTTTGCAAGCAATAAACATGAGTTATCGCCGGTATAGACGCGCGAAGACAACGTACGCGCGCGCGCGCGCGTGCACGCACACATGATACATGCGTTTGCTACGCATTTGCTGGCGGGCATTCTTGATTACGGCGTGAAAGACGAAACACTCACCTTCGGGTCTCAGTCTGTCGGCGATAAGGCAATACGGGGGTGGTGGCGACTCTGAAATATAAAATCATAATCGTTACGTATCACAATCAATAAAATTAAAACAGGAAAAAATTAAATGTTTCTCATTTGAATAGAGGAAAGTTCTGTATTATGCGACAGAAGGTATTCAACACCCCGAGTTCAATCGCAAATCTTTCTTCGCTACGATTACGCGATCTAACAACGCATTTTTCACTAAACAGATTTCGCTCCAAGGAGCAGTAAGTTCATGGTGGAATCAACTGACGATGCCTATTAATCGTTCAAAATGTACGTACACGGATGCCCACGAATGCCCAGTGGGCATTACTTTATCTTATTTTATCTTTATGAAATTGCTCCAGCAAGGCTTAATGCCCAAAAATGCCTAGTAATGCCCAGTAATGCCGCAAGTCTGTACACCACAACGCCATCGGCGGTTTTCCCCTCGCTATTAATTTTTAACAGAAACTGTCTCATAATAGGGGACTTTCCTCTACTTGCGGTGTAAATAATTTAGTTTGATACTTTTGCTTGTAGTATACATTTCTAACAACGGTTTGCTATTTTCGTAATTATATTCGGCGGCTAATTGAGCGTCACTTAAATAACAGTAAAATGAATGTTAAATAAAAGAGCGCATCAAATGAGACGTCTTTGTTCGTTTCGGCCGGAGTCGCAGCATCTCGGCACATCCGCATCGGTCGCCGGGGCATTGAGAAACTGACTCAAGGCTTTCGATTAAATCGAGTTAATGACATGGACGGCGACGGCGACGCGAAATATCGCGACAAACGACGGGCGCCTGTTAGAGAAGTGCAGGCCAAAAGTGGCAGGCTCTATTATTGGCGCGGAGCCGCGCTAGCGAAACCGGTATGCCATTTTTCGTCCTTTTACGTATCGCCCTGAAAGTAATAGAGGACAAACCGCGGCGCGAATATCTCGAACGTCAAGGTAACCCCCGATGTCTAAGAGAAACGAGACGACGCCGCCTCCGTCGCTCGCAGCCCGCGGCCGAGACCACGCGAGTGGGTACGTGCGCACAGGTAACTGCGTCCTCTCGAGGAATCATTGCCGCGACAAGTTTGCCAAACAATTAGATTTACGTGGACACTACGTTGTTGCCCAAGTAATTTTTACAATTTAAGATAACTTTCGTGTAATTTCAGCAATTCACGCTACACGCGAAAACGATATAGACAACAAATGAGACCGGCCAACGCGAGTCTAAGGCAGGATAGCCTTTACTTGTAATTTTTCATTTAATTGTGAATTCACACACCGTTTCTTTTGCCAGATTTGTTCAGCGCGCCGATTTCTTTCGGACATAATTCCAAGTCGATAAACGATTTGGAATTATATTATACCGTTGAATAAATGTCCGAAAAAAAAACTTCAGTTTTACACGAGGGGAAAACCGCTGACCAAAATCTTGTACACCGATGCCCACTAATGCCCAGTGGGCATTACTTTATCTTGTTATCTTATTTTATCTTTATAAAATTGCTCCAGCAAGGCCTAATGCCCAAGCTAATGCTCAAAAAATGCCTAGCAATGCCCAGTAATGCCGCAAGTCTGAACACCTCAGCGGTTTCCCCCTCGGTTTTACACGGATTTAAGTACGCAGAAACCTACGAAGATGCAAGCATCGAATGATCAATGGAAAGAATAAGCGCCTCTTTCCTCTTCCGTGCGACTTTAAACTCCGTAGCGTGTCGTAATTTGATAAAAGGATCGAGTTCTTATCGATTCTGCGCGATATAAAAATTCACGAGATACAGCAACAATGACGTTACGTAATCGGCGATCGAAATCGCAGATCGCAATCGGACATGATACTGCATCTTGGATCGGCGTGTTTTCAACAACATCCGTTTCATCTTTCTAAAAAAGGCGCGTATACTCGTCATCTAACGACGGACAAGCGCCGAAATTCCTAGATAATAAGCGCGCCGCGGCGTCGACGTGTAATGGCCGCCCGTCGCGCCTACACGCGAATCCTCCTCGCGGCTCGTTTCTCTCTTTATCGTTCTCTTTCCCTCTCGATCGTACTCGGCTCGATCCCTCTCCAGAGTCGGCCGGCCGGCCGCCGCGTCGCCGCCGAGCTTTAATAAAGCCGGCGCGGCGTGTCACTCATCGACGCACTTCAAACTTCGGGCCAGAGTTGGCACGATTTGAATAACAAGATGGGAGCGCGATTTAAACGGCGATATTTCAGCCCCTAATTAAGGCACTTATAATAAACGCGCGGCGCTCCCGTGGCGGTTACGTAACCCGCGCCGCCGAGCGTCTCCTTCCAACCGAGACGCGCCTATTTCTAGGCCTGTTTATACGATTGTCGGCCGCGAGGAATAAACTTTGTTCGCATTTATTGGACCGATCGTCCGCGCGTACAGGTGAAAATACTTCTCGATACACTCTCCCTTTGTTCGGATAAAGAAAAAAAATGCCCGATGAATCGCGCGAAGAAAAAGATATACCCGAGTCGAAATTTTGGTACTGTCCAGGATAATGTTCACCTACTCAGCTGATTTATACACCTACATAGACCAGCATTAACCTACTTTAATGACATCACATTTCTTTACTCCACCCTTGAATCTTTCTTTTCTATTCTAAAAATTTACCTTAGCCCCTACTTAAAAGAACCTACTTTAATTGGCAGGAGTGGAAATTTCCGACACTATTAGTTTGAAAATAGGAGTAAAGTTTGTACTTGCAGTTCGACCTCTTTTATTGTCCCTAGGTCCTACTATACAATAGAATTAAAGGTTCAACATAGGGCCAAAATTTACACCTATACTTAGCTGATCTATACACCTGCATAGACCAGCAATAACCTACTTTGATGACATTACATTTTCTTACTCCACCCTTGAATCTTTGATTCTAAAAATTTACTTCAGCTCCTACTTAAAAGGACCTACTTTAATTGGCAAGAGTAGAAATTTCCGACACTATCGGTTTTCCAGTAGGAGTCAATTTTGTACTTGCAGTTTGACCTCTTTTACTCGTACAGTAAAGTCTCAGGTCCTACTATACAATAGAATTGAAGGTTCTACATAGGGCCAAAATTTCGACTCGGGATACACGTGCGGGTCGGTGCCTCCCCGCGTTTTCGGGCATGAATGAATATCGAGGCGAGGGAGAGGAAGGGGCGGCGGAGAAAGTCGCGCGCATTGCCGCGCCGGATCGCGGAGCGGTGATAAAAACCTGCGCCGCGACGATTTGCGTAACGACGACACGCAGCCGCCGCCACCGCCACCGCCACCGCCGCCGCCGCCGCCGCCGCCGTCGTTGCTGTCGCCGACTGGCCGATGATAATCGATTCGCCGGCGTGAATTATTAACCGGCCGCCGCGGCAATGTGTGAACGAACGGCCGCCGAACGGGAAAAAAAAGCAGATAAAGACGGCGAGTTTGCGTCGCGGCGTTACGAAAACAAGGCGCCACCGCGGGAGCGATTTACGCGCGATAAAACGCCGGCGTCGCGCCGCGATCCGACGCGAAATTAACGTGCGCTATCGACGATCGCGCTTGACAATGGTCGCGTCCGGTGTCCGTTTGCTGCGAGCCAGCGAGGTTGCGCGTAAATTGAGCCGACGGGAAAAATAGGCGAGAGCGCCTCCGGCGCGATCGCCGCTCGCCGTGCACGCGTCATTGCATATTGAATACGCGCGTTATTTCGAGCGACGCGCGGGCTAAATAACGCATGCGTCACGCGGCGCACTAAAATAAATGTGTAAAGCTGTAAAGAAAGAAAGAAAAGAAAGAGAAGCACAAGAAGAACCCACCTCTCGCACACGTAGGCGCGTTATTCCTCGAAGGGTACCGGGATTATTATTTTCTTTTACAATACAAATAAGGAAACCACTTGTATTCGTGCCGCATCGTCCGCCGCTCGGGAGACGCGCCGTCGAATTTTCACACATCGCGGAATTGTGATTTATGTCACGGCGTGGAAGCGATAATCCTCGCCGAATGCCAACACGTGGGGAGCTCCCTCCCCCCCCCCCTCCCTCCTCCCCGCGCCGAACATCATTTCAGTGCGTGGTCAGTCTTTGTTTTGAACAACGGGCCGTAAGTGCCTGCGGAATTCTCCGCGATGCGCAGTGCGAGGGAGTGCTGAAATTCCTAGGAAACCTATTCCCGATCCGCCGAAAGCAACGACGCGCGCGGGCGCGCGCGTCCCAGAGATCGAGAATATAATAAACATCGGCACCGGCCAAGATTCCCGACGCCCTCGCTGTCCCCGATTCCGGCGGCGATCTCAAAAATTTCGACGATCGAAGGTCGAAGCGCGGCAGGCAGGCGTATTTATACTATTTGGCCCAGAAAGTGTACGTGAGGTGGCAATATCCCTTTTGTCGAATGCGTTAAAAATCGAGTTGCAACCGTTGCTGGATCGAGAGTAAAATGTCCGAAGACGAAATCCTGCAATCTTGTTTCCGCGGCGTTAGCGGGAGGACTTAAAGATGGAACGGGGTTAACGTTGGAGATCCATTTGTCGCCGGGATTTTTCTCGCAGAACACGGCCGAGGCGAATCGGGCGAAAATCGGTCGGTCGGTCGATGTCGACGCGAGCCTCCGACCGGCGAAGTCGACCGCGCATGCAACGCGACCCGCGTCGAGCCGGGTCGGAGCTTCGGATAGCCGCCGTTTGCCTGCTCGCTCGCCTGCTTGCTTTCCTGCCTGCCTGCCTGTCTGCCTGCTTTCGTGGAGTTCGACTCAGTTCGGTCAGCTCCTCGGCTAATGCCGGCTGGCCTCGACAATTAGCTGGCGCCAGCAATGACACGCAGCGGCGCCGGGCTGCGGTCCCCTCTCTCTTCGCGGCTGTCGCGGCCGTCGCGTCCCACCTCGTGCCCCCTCCGCGCGATCCCGCCGACGGTTCCGCCGCGCCGCGCCGCGCCGCGCCGCGCCTCGCCCCTTCGATGCCCTTCCTAACCGCACATGCTCGACGGCGCCCCGTCCTCAGTCTGCCATCCGCTCTTCCCCCGTCGCCTCTCTCGCATTCCCGCCCGCTAAACTCGCCTC